TTTTGGGTTTTGGGGATTTTTTGGTTTCTTTATTTTAATTTCGTGTTTATTTTAATTTCGTGGTTTTTGTGTTAATTTTGGGGTGGAATTTGGGGTTTTTGGGGGAATTTTGGGGTTTTTTGGGGCAATTTTGGGTTATTTTGGGGGGAATTTTGGGGTTTTGGGATTTTTTGGTTTCTGTATTTTAATTTCGTGTTTTTTGTGTTAATTTTGGGGTGGAATTTTGGGTTTTTTGGGGGGAATTTTAGTTTTTTTGGGGGGGAATTTTGGGTTTTTTTGGGGGGAATTTTGGGGTTTTGGGGATTTTTTGGTTTCTGTATTTTAATTTCGTGTTTCTTTATTTTAATTTTGTGTTTTTTGTGTTAATTTTGGGGTGGAATTTTGGGGTTTTTTGGGTGAATTTTGGGGTTTTTTGGGGGGAATTTTTGTTTTTTTGGGGGGGAATTTTGGGTTTTTGGGATTTTTTGGTTTCTGTATTTAAATTTCGTGTTATTTTATTTTAATTTCGTGTTTCTTTATTTTAATTTCGTGTTTTCTGTGTTAATTTTGGGGTGGAATTTTGGGGTTTTTTGGGTGAATTTTGGTTTTTTTGGGGGGAATTTTGTTTTTTTGGGATTTTTTGGTTTCTGTATTTAAATTGTGTGTTATTTTATTTTAATTGTGTGTTATTTTATTTTAATTGTGTGTTATTTTATTTTGTGTGTTATTTTATTTCAATTGTGTGTTATTTTATTTTAATTGTGTGTTATTTTGTTTTAATTGTGTGTTATTTTATTTTAATTGTGTGTTATTTTGTTTCAATCCGGGGTGCCCAGGCACTTTTACAAGCCCATGCTGAGGAGGGGGGTCAGTAAATGGGCGGCCCAGGCAGCCGTGTTCCTGCTCTCCGCCTTCTTCCACGAGGTCAGCCACCAAAACTCACCTGGGGGGCCTAAAACACACCTGGGGACACAAAAAACTCACCTGGGGACACCAAAAACACACCTGGGGAACTAAAAAACTCACCTGGGGGGCCTAAAACTCACCTGGGGACATCAAAAACACACCTGGGGACATCAAAATACACCTGGGGATACAAAAAACTCACCTGGGGGGCCTAAAACTCACCTGGGGACACAAAAAACTCACCTGGGGAACTAAAAAATACACCTGGGGAACTAAAAAATACACCTGGGGAACTAAAAAACTCACCTGGGGATACAAAAAACTCACCTGGGGACATCAAAAATACACCTGGGGAACTAAAAAATACACCTGGGACACCAAAAATACATCTGGGGACAGCCAAAATACACCTGAGACACCAAAAACACACCTGGGGAACTAAAAAACCCACCTGGGGACACAAAAAACTCACCTGGGGACACAAAAAATTCACCTGGGGACACAAAAAACTCACCTGGGGACAGCCAAAAATACACACCTGGGACACCAAAATACACCTGGGGAGCCTAAAATACACCTGGGGATACAAAAAACTCACCTGGGGACACCAAAAATACACCTGGGGACACAAAATTCACACCTGGGGACATCAAAATACACCTGGGGACCAAAATATACACCTGGGGAACTAAAAAACTCACCTGGGGACACAAAATTCACACCTGGGGACATCAAAAATACACCTGGGGACATCCAAAAATACACCTGGGGAACTAAAAATTCACACCTGGGGAGCCAAAACCACACCTGGGGACACAAAATTCACACCTGGGGACACAAAAAACTCACCTGAGACTTCAAAATCCTCACCTGGGACCCCGAAATTCACACCTGGGAATCCAAAAACTCACCTGGGGAACTAAAAAATCCACCTGGGGACACAAAAACACACCTGGGAACCCCAAAATCCTCACCTGGGCACCCCAAATTTACACCTGGGACCCCAAAAGTCCCCCCCGGGAACCCCAAAAATCCACCTGGGGACCCCAAAAAATCGCTCCTGGGATCCCAAAATCCTCACCTGGGACCCCAAAATTCACACCTGGGACCCCCCAATCCTCACCTGGGACCCCAAAATTCACACCTGGGACCCCAAAATTCACACCTGGGACCTCTCAGTCCTCACCTGGGACCCCAAAATCCACACCTGGGACCCCCCAGTCCTCACCTGCCCCCCCAGGTGTTTTGGGGTCCCCCCAGTCTTGGCTCTGACCCCCAATTTCCCCCCCCAGTACCTGGTGAGCGTCCCCCTGAGGATGTTCCGGCTCTGGGCCTTCATGGGCATGGCAGCACAGGTGAGACACCCCAAAAAAACAACGGGACACCCCAAAAATGGGGCTGGGGACCCCAAAAATGGGATTGGGGACCCCAAAAATGGGGCTGGGGACCCCAAAAATGGGATTGGGGACCCCAAAAATGGGGCTGGGGACCCCAAAAAATAACGGGACACCCCCAAAAAATGAACGGGACACCCCAAAAATGAACGGGACACCCCAAAAATGGGGCTGGGGACCCCAAAAAATAACGGGACACCCCAAAAAAATAACGGGACACCCCAAAAAATGAACGGGACACCCCAAAAAATGAACGGGACACCCCAAAAATGGGATTGGGGACCCCAAAAATGGGATTGGGGGCCCCAAAAAATAACGGGACACCCCAAAAAAACCAACGGGACACCCCAAAAAATGAACGAGACTCCCCAAAAATGGGAGTGGGGACCCCAAAAATGAACGAGACACCCCAAAAAATAACGGGACTCCCCAAAAAAATAACGGGACACCTCAAAAAATAACGGGACACCCCAAAAAATGGGGCTGGGGACCCCAAAAAATGAACGGGACACCCCAAAAAATGAACGGGACACCCAAAAAAAAAATAACGGGACACCCCAAAAAATGAACGGGACACCCCCAAAAAAATGAACGGGACACCCCAAAAAATAACGGGACACCCCAAAAAATGGGGCTGGGGACCCCAAAAATGGGATTGGGGACCCCAAAAAAATAACGGGACACCCCAAAAGTGAACGGGACACCCCAAAAAAATAACGGGACACCCCAAAAAATGAACGGGACACCCCAAAAATGGGAGTGGGGACCCCAAAAATGAACGGGACACCCCAAAAAAACAACGGGACACCCCAAAAAATAACGGGAGACCCCAAAAATTAACGGGACACCCCAAAAAATGAACGGGACTCCCCAAAAAACGGGGCTGGGGACCCCGAAAATGGGATTGGGGACCCCAAAAATGGGATTGGGGACCCCAAAAAATGAACGGGACACCCCAAAAATTGGGTTGGGGACACCAAAAACGGGATTGGGGACCCCAAAAAATGGGACACCCCCCAATCTGGGACACCCCAGAAACGGGAGGGGACCCCAAAAATGGGGAGGACACCCCCAAAAACGGGGACACCCCCAAAAAATGGGACAGCCCAAAAATGAGGAACCCCGAAATCGGGGACACCCCGAAATCGGGGACACCCCAAAAACGGGAGGGGACCCCAAAAAATGGGACACCCCCAAGTGTGGGACACCCCGAGAATGAGACACCCCAAAAATGGGGAGGGGACCCCAAAATGAGAGAGGGGGACCCCAAAAATGGGGACACCCCAAAAATGGGACAGCCCGAAATCCCAGCGGGGACACCCCAAAAACGGGAGGGGACCCCAAAATCCCCAATGGGGACCCCCCAAAATCCCGGTCCCCAAATCCCTGCTGGGGGTGGCACAGGACAGGAGGTGACACAGGGGGTGACACAGGGGGTGTCAGGTGACCCCAGGTGTCCCCAGGTGCCCTCAGGTGCCCTCAGGTGTCCCCAGGTGTTCCCAGGTGTGACTCTCCTGTCCCCTCAGATCCCTCTGGCGTGGTTGGTGTCACAGATCACAGGGGTGTCAGGGGGGTGTCCCAGGTGTTCCCAGGTGTCCCAGGTGACCCTGTCGCTGTCGCTGTCCCCGTCCCCGCAGATCCCTCTGGCGTGGTTGGTGTCATAGATCACAGGGGTGTCAGGGGGGTGTCCCAGGTGTCCCCAGGTGTCCCAGGTGACCGTGTCCCTGTCCCCAGATCCCCTTGGCGTGGTTGGTGTCACAGAGCTGGGGGGTGTCCGGAGGTGTCAGGGGGGTGTCCCCAGGTGTCCCCAGGTGTCCCAGGTGTGACTCTCCTGTCCGCAGATCCCGCTGGCGTGGTTGGTGTCGCGGTTCCTGCGGGGCCATTACGGCAACGCGGCCGTGTGGATGTCGCTGATCCTGGGCCAGCCCATGGCCGTGCTCATGTACGTGCACGATTACTACGTGCTCAACTGCGACGGCGGCCCCTGAGCGCCCCGAAACACACACGGACCCCGAAACTGAACCGGGGACCCCAAAAACCGACCCGGGACCCCAAAAACACACCGGGACCCCGAAACTGAACCGGGACCCCGAAACTGAACCGGGACCCCGAAATCTGAACCGGGAACCCCGAAATCTGAACCGGGACCCCGAAATCTGAACCGGGAACCCCAAAATCTGACCCGGGAACCCCAAAATCTGAACCCGGGAACCCCAAAAACTCACCCGGGAACCCCGAAATCTGAACCCGGGACCCCAAAAACCGACCCGGG